GCTGCCAATACTATTATGTCGCAAAATGTGTTGCTTTTACAACCTGTTCATATGATAGATTTACAAACTTTTGGACATCGCTACATACCTTATTTGCCTAGTAATACATTACTTCCTTTGGATCAAGTCCAAATTTAACATTGAATATAAGCAAAGACTGTAGAACAATGTACATGTATGTTCATAGCTGTATAGACTCTGATATTAGCATCTCTATATAATACATATTCTCTTGAAGGTGTTAAAAGCATGCAATTGTCAATCTATTTGTTGATTATATGCGACATGAGACCTGTACTTTGAAAAAAATGTGCAAATATAAAAATCTTTTGTAAATACATCACTGTCTCCGACTTGTTAAGTTATAACACACTTTTAAATCATGCAAGATTATGGCCTGATAAAAATGTTCATCATATTAGCAGCTTAAAGATGAAACCTGCGTCTACATTCAAATTTCGGACTAAGTTTGTGGGCTAGTAACTTTTAGGCATAGCTAGTTCGAATGGCTAGCAAAATTTCGAAACTATTTTGTACACTGACCTGTGAAGATCCAGGTTATAATTGATCTTCAGTAGGCAACTAACAGGATCGGGTGGTCAGGCTCGCCAAACTTTGTTGACATATGTCATTGCATACCATTTGCGTAAATCGATACTCATGCTACTGATCACTGGTTTGTCTGGTCCACTCGCCACAGGGCTTGGCGTGATCAGCCGAGTCGGTCCCATTCTACCATCCGTCCAGGTGAAGTCAGGGTCGAAGTTGTGTGTTGGACAATAGGAACACCTTTGGCCTTCACCACCAGACTCCCTTTCTCCACTGAAACCTGTGAAGATCCGGGTTCGAATTGGTGTTCAGTAACCCCTGCTTGTCGAAAGAGGCGCCTAACGGGATCGAGTTGTCAGGCTCGCTGACTTGGTTGACACTCGTCATCGTATCTCAGTTGCGTAGACCGATGGTCGTGCTGCTGTTCACTGGAGTGTCTGGTCCAGACTCGATTATTTACATACCACTGCCAGATAGCTAGAATATTGCTGAGTGCGGGGTTAAACGACAAATCAACCAAAACAACAACGATGTTTTACTTAGTATTATTGGATAATATTTTGGTATGTCTTTAAGCACAGTGTTTCACAGAGAGATCATGAAGGAATGACTCTTGATGCATGGCAGAATGTACTATCATTAAGATATCACAGTTTGACGCAAACATCGAGGCAAAGTTCTGGATAAATGAAACGTCTAAAATAATATTCAACAAGTCAGCAACCTACCAAGTCCGACGAGAAGAATCACCAACACGCCTATGTGCAGATCCATGGTGACTGGTATCTGTCAGTACGTTTGGAGCTCTGATATACCCACAAGTCATCTGACAGGTGGTGAGCTTAAAAACATAGTCATATTTGTTATGTACAACATTGATCTTGTTGCCGTTGTTTTCATTTGATAATATTGACCTCGAACAAGGTCACACTGAAACTTAATCTGCAAAACTGATTGGCCTGTGTTTACCCTCTAAGGAGTGAGTTTAGTTTTACGCCGCACTCCAGCAATATTCCAGCTATATGGCGACGGTCTGTAAATAATCGAGTCTGGACCAGACAATCCAGTGATCAAGATCATGGGCATCGGTCTACACAACTGGGATACGATGACACGTATCAACCAAGTCAGCGAGCCTAACTAAAAGCAGAGTCGATCGTACAATTGTGACTGTATCACAAGTATATATTTGTTTTAGCAGTATTAGCTCGTCACGCCGAAAGCCGGGTTCAATTCCCCACTTGCACACTTTGCGTGAAGCCCAGTTTGGTGTCACCCGCCATCATATTGCTGGAGTATTGATAAAAGCAGCATAAAACTCACTCACTAATAGAGCAGTATTATTGCTGTATGATGTTGTTTGTAAACAAATCGAGTTTGGACTCAGGCCGCCCCTTAGTCTGTCTCATAGTCCGTTTCCCAGCCGTAAATATAGCAACTGTTGCGCTTTCTTCAGCTTCTGAAGCTTCCATGTGACCGGAAGTCCTTTTCAAAAGAAAGTGGGTTACTAAATAATGTATTTTTCAGTGTCAAAACACCGTGTTCGGATTAGCAAGGTTCCGGATTGATATATCTATAGTGGGGATGGCTATCGATATAGATCATAGAGATCGATAATCGTAAACTTAATATCGATCGATGATCGATAAATATAGGAGATGTCATTTTAAGCAAAAATGTCTGAAAGAAATGAATATATTTCACATCACTGGCGAGTGGTGACATGTTTATGCATGGATTATTAACAAAACAACGTCTTGAACATAATTTAGACGCAGACCATGAATAAAGTCCTAAATTTCTACATTGTGTACGAAAACGTTTTTCTATCATGAAAGTTAATGAACAATGTTATCGGTAACACAAATATCATATCGGCAAGCATTAACGATCTTTCCTAGTGACCATTTTTCCGATTATCGATAAATTTACTCAACTCTAATCTACAGATAATATAAATGTTTATGATGTAATATTTTACCATGAATATGCAAATACAGTTATACGTTTTAGGTATAAAACAGGGATTAAACAAGCTTGATTATAACTACCAAGTTTGGCTGTGTAAAGCCTTCAGTTTTGCCGCATGTACTATTCTGAAACCAATTCTGTCATCATATATAAGTTATCTTAAAAAAGAGCTACATTTATTTGTATAAATTTTACAATTAGAATTTTGTGGGTTCGGTGTAATGGGAATGTTTCATATCACAAGGCGTGTATGTGTAACAAGATAGAAATCTCATTATTCCGAACTCTGAAGATTTGTTTCATAACATAGGCGGATCAAAGGGGGGGGGGGGCGGTGCAGGGGTGCGCACCCCCCTTTTGTCCTGAAAGTTTATTAAATGACCATTGAAACTCTGGTGAAAATGAAGTGTGCACCCTCCCTTTTCTCAATAGTGTGCACCCCCCCTTTCTCAAAAAGCTCTATCCGCCCCTGCATAATATATATACAAATTATTTTGATTAATAACATTTCGTTAAGTTTGAAGGTTTAGTGACGGAACACTGCCAGTCCCATAAAATGCATGCGTTATCGGCAATCTACCATTTATATAATGACTGTATCGAACAGCGATCAGAAAAACACCCACACACGTTGAGATATGTACCTTTGATGTATAATAATTTATAAACAAGATTAGTATATTACGGATCCAATATCCCCAATGAAGTGAAATGTAAGCCCAATATCTATGGTGAATGTTGATAAGTAGCTATATGAAATGTATTGTTTTGAAACTCGTGAAAATATTTATCTGCTGTTATAGGTATGATTTCATACCAAAACGGATATAAAACAGAAATATATATGGATATAGACAAACTGATACAAAGAGAAAATACACAATGGGAAAACAAGGGAGCCTGTATGTAAGCAAACCAATCTGTTTGGTTTTGAATCGCATACCATACACTCGTGATTTCTCCAATCAAAGCACTTCAATCGTTACGAGCAGGTTGGTTGGCTTGTCGTATTTTCGCACATAACGTTCATCGATGGAAGACGAGTCCTCTAGCAGGCACGGGGCGGTGGGGTAGCCTAGTGGTTAAAGCGTTCGCTTGTAACGCCGAAGACTGGGTTCGATTTCCTACATGGGTACAATGTTTTAAGCCCATTTCTGGTGATATTACTGAATCTTATATTGTTTAAAGCGGCCTAAAACTAAACTCATTCAGTCACTCACCCACTCATGCAGGCACACGTCACCAGTGGACATGTCTGGAGACGATCCTAGTTGTAATCTCCCGGATGTCCGCGGTTTCGTAATAATCGTGTTTCACTGTATTATTGTCCATACATGTTAATGCTCCTGTCAAACAGAGGGGTTTGCATGTATCGTTGTTTCACAGGGACGGTGGTTCAAGTGTTCCCTCGTCATCCCGAATACAAGATCTCGATTCCCCACAGGGGTACTATGAGTGAAGCCCATTTCTGGTATCCCCCGCCGTGATATTGCAGGAACATTGCATAAAACGGCGTAAAGTCCCATTCACTCACTACATATGTTGCAAACGTTTAGTAGTCATGACTGTCGGTCCACATTCACACCAGGGGATCGGTTTATTTGAATAATGAATGTAGTATAGTGTGTCGCTTCAAAGCCACTTTTAGCAATATTCCAACAAAATCACGGCTTGGGACACCAGGAATTGGCTTAACACATTGTACTCATGTGGGGGATCGAATAAGGATGTACTTGGATTCTGGATGTGGACTAACCTGGTAGGGTGTACTTGGTTCGGGAGCTCCCGTTCTTTCTTAAGCTTCAAACCTTTACAAACAGTTTCTTTGCAGATCGGATATATGAATGTCATGCCAATCCTCATTGTTCCATAGCTTTGGGCATCGCTATTTCAGTATCGCCTGTATGGGTTTTCATTACATGCGGAGTGAGCTAAGGTCATCCCATTACAAAACGACCAATATGACAAGAAGTCGACATCGGCCATTCAGAAAGCAGCTTATTGTTGAATCTCGATTCAAATTCAATTGGATGGCTCAAACTTTTTCCCCTTTCGAAACGCTTATCTAAATTAAGCCAGAAACAGACGTCATTATTTTCGTGGAATAAGGCGTTGTGACGTCGTTCGGAATACCCCGTGTTAAACCTTTCGAGGTTTCGTGATTGAAATACTTATTTCCGACCTTCACTTTCCATATCTTGTTGGCATGGTTTTATGGAAAGTTCGTTGTGATGTGACCCTCAAATATAAGTCCTCACATGTTTAACGAAAGAGGAGGTGGGGTAGCCCAGTGGTTAAATTGTTCACTCACCGCGCCGCAGAACAAGCTTCGATTCAAAACATTGATACATGGATTTCGCCGTGATAATCCTAGATTATCGAAAAAAGCTCACTTACTCACTCACTCACTTTTAACGATAGTGATCACACAAACCTCAGATTTTAAGGGGTTGATTACTTCCTAAATGACAAGTCAAGTGCATGTTGTTTGGTTTATTTCATGACATGGTCAGCACTGACCGCAGCTTCGTCTACACGAGGACAACATGTAGCCGGGGTTCCGTCCACACTCCCCCATCATCGACCAGCTCCTGCAGTCGGTGTTTGCATCCACACAGGATCCACCTAGAAATACAAGAATGAAAATGTATTCTCGTTTCTGCAATTTGTCCACAATTAAAAACACGTTTTTCACACCTACAATGCCAATAAAGGCAGCATAAACGACACATGGAATTTGAAAAAATCGACAATTTTCGGTAACGATCGATATTCTTCGGCATGAAATATTGCCCTATGTTTTAAAAGTAAGTCAGTCAATGAATCAGCGATTTGATGGGACATATTTTATTTTTAGCCAATGAGCTCCCTTGCTCTTTTCAGTGCGGGGCAGATGAACGCCAAGGTCGTCAATGGCGAACGGGCACGACACAATTCTGTTTGCGATGAATAAATGTACGTAAACTCATTATGACAGTGAGATGTAAGTGTCTCCGAAAGAATGGCGACTAGCGCGCTGGCAGGCGCCATCAGTTCAACATGTTTTGGTGCATGTCGTGTGTGCATACTGTGAAATAGACAAGAAAATGGATGAGTTTCCGCCACAAATTCGGAAATTCGGCTCGGAATCGAGAAATCACGATGTTTCGAGCCTCCAAAGATCCTAGCTCCCAAAGCACTGCTTCGATTTTTGTGCTGAATGTCTCATTTTGTTGGTAAATCTATTGGCTTCAAATGTGTGTATACTTTAAATGGGATAAATACAGTGAGTATTGTTGAATTCGCCCTGTGTGTTTGACCTCGTCAATCCCTTTCCTTTTATTATAAGTGTAACGCTATTTTTGAGGGCATTACCATTCTCAGATACCCGAGGTCTTCCATTAACTGCCCGACGATAACTGCAGATGATAATGCCCTCAAAAATAGCATTACCTTTAAAATTGCTAAAATACATGGAATTTGTGTTGAAAAGAAAAAGGAAACAATGAAGGAATTTGACTGTAAGTTGACTCAAAACCAACTTCTGACGGGCTTGACAGTCAGAATCCAATAACGTCATCGAACAATTCAAGTGACGTCACAACAGAACGTGACGATATTCAACCTTGGCCTTTGAAAAGACCATGGCCTGCAACATATCAAGCTATGTCAGGCACAAGTCAGTTGTCAGTGTTCGGTTCTGGTCCAACAACAACGTTAATAGTGCAATTGTTAAGGTTAGCACCAGCAAGAAAGCCAATATATCCGCTATTTAAAGGGGGAATTCGGGTTGCTTTGACTTGTTTGCCCCAGAATATCTGCCAGTCCAAAGCCAAAGTCGAATGAACCGACGCACCCACTATGACGTCACTTGACAACAGAACTGATAGTGGCCCTTCGTTAAGGTTGAGCGGTCCAATATCATTTGCAGCAGCCTGCAAATTTCTGATAATAGGACGGCCGTTTCATGATTATTCCATGTGTATATAGTACAAAGTCCTTTGGGCTCACGGAATATAAACAAACATCGAGGGTACGTCAGCCCATGTTCCCCTCGATTAGAGTGAACAACGTATTTATCTTAGTGAACACCTCAAAGGTAATTTTGAAGGGGTGGTGAGTAGCAAAGTGGTTAAAGCGTTTGTTCGTCACGCCGAAGACCCGGGTTCGATTCCCCACATGTGTACAATGTGTGAAGCCCGTTTCTGGTGTCCCGCGCCGTGATATTGCTGGAATATTGCTAAAAAGCGGCGTAAAACCGTACTTACTCACTCACTCAAAGGTAATTTTGAACTGTTTGAAACACGGATATGGAATCATAGTATGGAGTACCAGACGACAAGACAAACAAATTTAGAGTTATCTCCCTTCCATCGATTTGTATTCGCAAAACATCGGTAATTTCCGTACGTCATAGGTGATTCAATGTTATTCGAGATAAAAAAAATACTACTACCAAGTACCAAATGAGTTTGGCATTCCCAGCGGGGTACATAGAAAATGTTACTCGCTTGTAAGCAGGGTGCATTGAAAATAATATTAGAGCGCTCAGCCAGTGTGTGAGGCAAGATAAATGGCAGTATGTAAATAATCGAGTCAGGACTAGAACATTCAGTGATCAACTGCATGAACATCGATCTTTGCAATTGAATTACGACGACATGTATCAACCAAGTCACCTGACCACCCGATCCATTAGTTTCCTCTTACCACCAGCATGGGTTACTGAAGATCAATTCTAACCCGGATCTTCACGAGTTCAAAGGACAGGTATAGTGCTGACAAAAGAAGGTTCTTATTCAAAATGAATGCTGATTTTGTGCCAACGATCATAGGATACCGGTACTTCAAAGGGACGCAACTCTATCTATTGATGTCACACTAGACATACACTACAAAGTGAAAGATCATGGGTAAAATTCCATGTCGAACCTGCTCCTCCGCCTCCTGAGCATCTGTTGCAACTTTGTCTACAGTACACGTGCATGTAGCGAGGATTGGAGCCACACTCCCCTTGAGAAGCCCATGACCTGCAGTTGCGGTTCCTATCCAGACAGTTGCCTGAAACAGCCATAAGTGTAATTCAGAATTTTTTTGTTAAATTCTTGAGGCTTCAAGTTTGGCCGTGTATTACAGAAGTATCCCATTATAGACTTTCATACCTGAACCAGTTCCGGTTCCGGTTCCAGTGCCAGTTCCAGTTCCGGTTCCAGTTCCGGTTCCAGTTCCAGTTCCAGTTCCAGTGCCGGTTCCGGTTCCGATTTCGGTTTTGTTTCCAGTGCCGCCGCCCCCAGTGTTGCAGTCCATCATCAGACGCTGGCTTCTCTCAGCATCTGCAACATTAGCAGGAAATACATCACATAAAACTACCCTAATCCGAATTATACTATCAGAATACAGGAATCTGGTAGCCAGTTACTGTAACAGCTGATTGCTTGGAATCGTTACTCGTGATTTCAATTTTTGGTGTTGGGAAAAACATATTTAAGTCTTGATTGAAACATGATAATCTGGACCAGTCGCGTCCACGTGAAGCACAATAACAACGGATATCACATTTTGCTTACTGCGGGTTGCCATACATCTTCTGAGGTACGTGTTCCCGCAGGGAAATACCTCCTGTATCAGAGAGAACAGCTGGGGGTCGTATTGCCGTAGTTTCTCGCGGGTGTTGACGCGGTTGTGGATGCCGTTGGGGACGGCGGAGTAAGCGTTGACGTTGAAGTAGCTTTGTGTCCCTTCCGCCTGATTAGAGAGGGTGACAATCTGTGTACTCACATGTCAATAGAATACGACAATTCCAGAAAATAACCAGTTTCGGTAATTAACTGAAGCTGACTTCATTGGGCACCCCAAGCGGAAAAGTGGTGAAAATGTACGTAAATGAATAACTGAAAGATGACCGACTATCAGATGAACACAAACATAAAGTATACACAGACACTGACATTCTTCCTTTGATCCGATTTTTCTTGTTTTATAATATAAGTTGCATGCTTCAAAGTATTTAATTTACTGCCACGTTGAATGTTCAACACGATAATCTCGCTACCGACTACATGACATGTAAACAAAATGGCGTCTGCCTCTCGACTGGATTTTTAGAATCAGTGAAACATATTCTGACAAGCGTAAAACTGCTAAAAAAATGGCTAATTGCGTTTGACTTGAGTGTGCCTACGATGCAATGTATTAAATAGTTTAGTCATGAAAATCGACAAAACAAATGTGTACATAGTGAACTATAAAACCGCTAATCGAACGGTTTTCGAACTCCGGACACTGCATGCGTCATATATGACGTCATACGATTGTGAGCAATACAGCTTCTCGGCGGAGAGTTTGGCGGTTACTTTGTCCACGGGTAACATTTTTTCCAGTTGTCACCCTCGTTGTGACACAGAAATTTGTTAAAGAGTCATTGACCACTGAAATTAAAGCATCTCACATGAAGGTAAGATAATATAAGTGATCGCCTACCGGCTCGGGTGGCACGGGTACATCAGACCGTATTATCCTCGAGAGAAGCATACAGCATATTTACCTCCATGTTAAATGGGGTTTTTTTTTAATTGATAAGCTCGCTACCGACCTTATGACATGAAAACAAAATGGTATCTGCTCCTCGACTCACAGTCACAGTTAGATAACGCCTTTCGTAAGCCAATGATGTAGCACTGAGTTACGAATAGGTCGCATCGTTACGAAGGCGTTGTGGATCGGGAACCTGAAGTGGTTACAAAGAGTGCAGGCATTCACTTTGACAGATGTTATAATGATGATTCGAGTTCCACAACTTCTCTGATTGAACAGAAACGTTTTGTACCATGTGTTTAGACAACCTGCGTAATCTGAGTCAACAGCCACCATAGTACTGGCTGATAAGATCTGGCTGAAATGAGGATTGGATGGGCGACATTGTTATTGTCATTGGCTGTTATCATGCGCAAGCTGTTATCATGTAGCCAGAAAACTGCTGCGAACGCACTCAAGCACACGCATACAAACACGCGCGCACCCACGTACAGTCACACTCACAAACATTCATTCATACTCGATATGTTTGTACTTACAAAGTATTCTTCCACTGTGGTCATGGCGTACGTCCTGCGCCACCTACCGGCAGACCTGGCCTGGTAGTATAGCGACTGTAGACGACTCTGCCAACCTGGGATGGCATACTTGGCACCGAGTAGATGGATGCCATGGGCGAACTCGTGCAGGAAGATGTCCTCGAACCGATACCTGATGCCATATTATGGACATGAATCGTTCACATTCTCATAAAGTTCAAGAAGCATTTTCAAATACTTTGCTGTCTCTTTTTAAGTTCTTTCAAAATAGTAATTTTAGACAGGATACGGCAACCGTGTGATTGCACGTCTTTTCTTACAAAGAAACGAATTACTCGAAACACATCTTCAGGAAAGCAACAGCGATAGAAGCATCCCCTTAGAATAGCTGAGGGTAGCACATGAAGAGTTACGTCCCTTCTTTTGTGGATCTTCTCGGGTTTTGTTTAATTGAGATAGGTTTTCAGCAGTTTCGTTGGGTAGAAATCATTGTCATTTTACCTGTCCGTATTGTAACAAAGGATGTTTTCCTCGCCTCCTGTTGACACGGGGGCGTGTTCCGTCGCCCCAAGTCCACGTGCTCGGGCGTTCCAGGAGGCGCCAAGCCAAGCATGTTCCGGAATGGACACCGTCCCTTCCCGAGCTCCGATCACTGCCACCCTCCCCGACAGTCGGTAGTAGGACTGCCGCACACCGCTGTGGTCGGCGAGGAGGAAGCGAAGGACGTAACAGGCGCGGCGAAGAGCGTCGTCGGGGACGTTAACGGAACCTGCGGTGCATACGGGTATCATTCTTGACCTTTGGTCAATCCAATTCTTCAAAACCGTAAACAAGGATTGAAAAAAATAAATAGTATACAAATTACAATAAGCATGCTCAAAATAACTATAAGAAATATATATATAACAGATTTGTCATTCGCATGACGTCCCACGTACCACCATCTGTTGATCTTATTTATCACTGAAATGGGGTTTTTCTCCCGAAGGAAAACAAATTTGTCTGATGGTTTCAATCTTGACCAAATTTTTTAAAATTTCATTTGCCAAATCAAGTATTAAAGAAACCAGCCAGAAGTATAAAGCAAAGGCAAAGAATTTCCTTGTAATATTCCTTGTTGTTTTGTTTTATTTCTTTTTTCATATTCATCCATTCCCCCTAGTCGCCTCTTAAAACACTGTGGGGATGCTGAAGACTAGTGGTAACCCGGATCTTCACGTCCAAGTCCAGGTCAGAGATCTTCACGTCCACGTCAAAGCCAGAGATCTTCACGTATACGTCAAAGCCAGAGATCTTCACGTTCAAGTCCAGGTCAGAGATCTTCACGTCCAGGTCCAGGTCAGAGATCTTCACGTCCAGGTCCAAGTCAGAAATCTTCATGTCCAGTTCCAAGTCATAGATACTCAAGACCACAAGAGAAAGTCAAACTCTGCCGCTATTTATATTAATACACAGTGAAAAATTATGAGAACCTGTGGTGCATACGGGTATCATTTTTGACCTTTCGTCAATCCAATTCTTCAAAACCGTAAACAAGGATTGAAAAATAAATAGTATACAAAATTACAATGAGCATGCTTAAAATAACTATAAGAAATATATATATAACAGATTTGTCATTCGCATGACGTCCCACGTACCACCATCTGTTGATCTTATTTATCACTGAAATGGGGTTTTTCTCCCGAAGGAAAACAAATTTGTCTGATGGTTTCAATCTTGAACAAAGTTTTTAAATTTTCATTTGCCAAATCAAGTATTAAAGAAACCAGCCAATAGTATAAGAGCAAAGGCAAAAAATTCTTTGTAATATTCCTTGTTTGTTTTGTTTTCTTGCTTTTTTTGCACCGCATCGCATTGAGCAATATTTCAACTCTATGAGAAGTATATAATCGGGTCTGGATAAATAAGCCTCTGAATTACATTATGGGCATCGTTCCACCGTTGGGATACCAAGCTATGCGTCAACCAAGTCATCGAGCATATCCATCCATTCCCCCTAGTCGCCTCTTAAAACACTGTGGGGTTCTGAAGACTAGTGGTAACCCGGATCTTCATGTCCAAGTCCAGGTCAGAGATCTTCATGTCCAAGTCCAGGTCAGAGATATTCACGTCCACGTCAAAGCCAGAGATCTTCACGTTCAAGTCCAAGTCAGAGATCTTCATGTCCAAGTCCAGGTCAGAGATATTCACGTCCACGTCAAAGCCAGAGATCTTCACGTTCAAGTCCAAGTCAGAGATCTTCACGTCCAAGTCCAGGTCAGAGATCTTCACGTCCACGTCAAAGCCAGAGATCTTCACGTCCAAGTCCAGGTCAGAGATCTTCACGTCCAGGTCCAGGTCAGAAATCTTCACGTCCAGGTCCAAGTCAGAGATCTTCATGTCCAGGTCCAAGTCATAGATACTCAAGACCACAAGAGAAAGTCAAACTCCGCCCCTATTTACACAGTGAAAAACTATGAGATACACATAGGATCTTTTAAGACAGAAGTGTAGATTGTAAAAACCAAAGAACTCAAAAGTATTGAATTAAGTTTTATGAGTGAAATCCATAGCATTTGTTGTTGCCGTTATTGTGTTACGTTAGTAAGCAATATTCCAGGCTTAACGCGGAGGCATGTTAATTTGGGAACTTCGTTTAACGCCAAACTGAGCAATATGACAGCGTCCTGTAAATAATCAGAAGAGATCATTCAGTGACTGAGATCATGAGCACCTGAAACGATGTCATGCACCAATACGATGTATCAAACAAGTCAGCGAGCTTGACCACTCGATCCCGTTAGGCATGGCTTGCTGACGAACACTGCTTCCTAAGGAATATAAAGGTAAAGGTCACTGATATGACATGCAAAGTTGAGCCACCTTGCCGTGCAAGGATCCTCTGAAGGTTTTGACACAAGTTGATGAATTCTAATCTGAGAACGTTTTTTTCCAGAATGATATCGACTTTACAACCGACTTCAAACGAGAGGACAAGTGAATAACCCATGCTTGTCGCAACAGCCGACGAACGGGATCGGGTGGTCAGGCTCGCTGACTTGGTTGACATATGTTATCGTATCCCAATTGCGTAGATCAATGCTCATGATGTTCATCACTGGATTGTCTGGTCCAGACTCCAATATTTACAGACTTCCGCCATAAAACTGGAATATTGCTGATTATGGTGTTAGTAACAAAAAAAGACAAGATCACCTAATACGGGTATCCCATACGCCTCTGTATATTTCTGGTAGAAATACGACAATCCACTCGGTCTGATGTTGCTTGCGCTCCTTAACTGCGCAGGGACTCCCCGGATGTCGCTACACGTGTCGGTGGAGGTGGAATGGCCTGGCCGCCCACCAGGCGCATTCATCGGGGCAAAGGCTTCATTAAAACAGTATAACGTAAGTTCAAGCTTGAATGTCAAACAGCAAGTTTGTATTAGCCTGGAGACAAAAAGTAACGAATATTTTACCACTGTAACGCTGGTATCAGCTGCTGGCAATCGACATGGCATTCATTATAAATATTCGCAAATCTACTGTCACTCTTTCACCTGAAGAAGCTTGACATGTAAACATTTGAAATAACATAAAACGCCTTTTCTGTTAGATGCAGCCTATTGACTCCGACGTTTGTCGGAATGTGATACAAAAAGTAGAGCCAGGACATTTACAATGTACTGAATATCTGTGAGGTTGTCGTGTGAGCAGTCACGTTAGATACATCCCCATGTCCCCTCCTAACCTCCCCCATAAAGATCATTTGGATCCAAGATTAATTGGCTCAACGCCGGTGCCGCCAAATGCTCAGTTACCCATCACTAACATAGAGCAGGAATGTACTGTCGTGCCACCAATGGGTGGTTCCCCGATAACAAGTCTTTTGTCATTAGACCAAGCCGAAACGGAACCTACAAACATGATCCAAACGGCATCTTCTTCCGTGTTCCCAAACTGTACCCACCACCATAGTGCCAAATGGAACCTACTACCATCCCAAACGGATCCTACGTCCATGTACCTAAACAGAACCTACCACATTAATACCAAACGGAACGTCTAAACGCTTTCTCAAGGTTCTAGTACACAGACATCAATAGGGCAGACATTGTCGCTTCAGGACGAGACACGTAGCAAACGGCTGTCTATACACTAATCAAGGAAGTGCGTTATGTTCAAGTTGGCGTCATAGGAAGGTTCTTCCAAGCGTTTATTAGTAATGTTTTCTACTCAATCAACTAAATACCTTGTTATGGTGCCCCATTTGACGCTAGATAACATTGAAGGATGTCACATACAGTGGTCCATTGTCGTGATCATCCTAAGCATTACAGGTGAAATTGACGGTGACATAACAAGCTTCACTCAGATCAGGGGGAGATTTTCTTTCTTTGTCGGGGTGTAAATTTAAAAAACTTTAAACAAAAAGCAAAGGTATCGCAAACAATATAGTGATTCAAACTAATACTGAACGGACACTGGCAAATCGCAAAACAAACCCATCTAATCCATATGGCCGTTTATCAGCTTGGCAGTGACGGGAGTGTATTTGCCGGGAAACAATTCTCAGCTGCCGTGAGTTGCTTTCTGTGCATTAGATTTAACAGAAAGCCACGAACCTTAGAAAGTGGAACAATATGAAGTATTTCTCTCTCACACAATGCATAAATTATACAATACATACCTCTTTGACAACATTCGTGAACATGCAGATACACAGCTTCACAGGAGGTTTAGAAAGGTGTTATATTGTCTGGAGGACAAAGTCTTTTTCATATTTTGATACGACGTTTCGGTATAGATTGGAAACCGTGGATGGAACCGACTCATATACATGTAACAGGGATTAAGTAAGACAACATGAGGGTATGTATCAAGGGGATTAACAACTACAATTATTATTGGCAATAATGGGGCAACAATAGGAGTAAGCAGCCTGTTCATGGGACGGAACAAACAGTACACAGCTGACATCAGCACTGATATTAGCCAAACAGTTCACTGGCACATGCCAACTTTGATTGAGCGAGTGGTATGGTTTTACGCCGTTTTTAGCAATATCACGGCGGGGTCCACCAGAAATGCATATGGGCTTCACACATTGTACCCGTGTGGGGAATCGGACCAGAGTCTTAGGCGTGACGAGCGGACGCTTTAACCACTAGGCGCCAGCTTTAATCAAACAGCCTATAACCAGAAATGCTGTGAGCTGTGGCCTTTAATCCCTTATAACAAAATATAGGGTGCAGGCACAATGAAGAGTGGAGTGCTCTGTTCTGTTGTTTTTATCAGTTCATTGTAGGTGGGTGGGAAAAATGGTAATAATAAAGATGTTGCGACCCATAAAGTATCATACCTTTCTTATTATTAATCAACTTCCAAAATTCCAATTAAACAGAACTGTTCATAGTGTTTCTTTATAAGGAACTTCAACGTTTAAAACCATCCTACCTGCAGCATCTCTGGAGTGATAATAATCAGCTTCGGTTAAAGGCCGCAGAGGGTCATCCCAATCAAAGGTCAAGGCAAAATCACTGCCTGGAATTTGTCGTCTGATCCGACCTGTGATCAAATGATAACAAGTCTCATTAATAATCAGATCTTAATTCCTGCTGTAGATAAGCAAAAATCCAAGAATATCATAATACATGTCGCGTTCGAACAGCTTTTTGCGATCTTTGACAGACCAAAGAAATTGCTTACAAGAAGTCGACGTCAGCCAATCAATAATTTGCTTTAAAGGGTATTATGGCACTAGTTTCAAACTGGCGACTTCCATTTCACACTTCGTTTGAAATATTCCACTGGCTGTAAAAAGTCCCTCTCGTTTCAAATGTTTATCCAACTGAAACAAGCGATCGGCCATGATTATGACGGAATCAGTCGCCCAGCCCGTTACGAATAATCGTGTTGACCTTTTCGAAATTGCATGTTTGGAAAGCATGTCTTATGTCATGTTATTGGTGACCAGTTCTGCTACATGTTTCATTGTAAATCGCTTTCCAATCAACGAGCTGCTTTCATAGACATAGTATGATGGGACAATCATCTTTAAGTTTTGAAAACCTTTGAACTCAAACAAAGAATACCTGTTATCGACAAATTATCACACTTCATCAAATTCATATATGCTCATTTAAGTGAAGATCTAAGATCTTTAGTGTTTGTGGATTTGTCATCTTCCCGTGCCATAGGTTACGTTATGTATATAAGTGTTAATTATTTGTACTGGCCATGTACCACCGCTAGTGCTCCCACAAAGTAAAAAAAGGTTCTTGGGTGTTGGTGTTTTTTTTCCTTGTTCGCGAGAACTATAATCTCATGTTAATTATAACATTAGCCTTGACGATCCGGGTGAGAATATGTTTGTCGTAAGAGGCGAATAACGAGATCGGGTGATCAGACTCGCTGACGTGGTTAACACAGGTTACCGTATCCCAATTGCGTAGATCGATGTTCATGCTGTTGATCACTGGATTGTATGGTCCAGACTCGATTATTTACAGACATATATTCCATATAGCTGGAATGTTGCTGAGTGTTGCGTTAAACAACAGACAAATACACAAATCTGCCTCTGACCATCATGTGATTGTTTGTGATTACATCACAGCAAGAAGTGAACATATGTCTTTTATGTTTTCAGGTTCAAAAGATGCGTGTATGTTTGTTAAAGTGTCATTTTTAAGTTTTGGAATAATATTTTGTTGTAGCAAGGCTCCAGATAAGGGCGTATCGGCGTATGTACGGATACAAAATATGCACGATACGTATGGAAATAATTTAGAAAACGTAGCAGATACTACAGAAATGGTGTACGGTCTTAGAATCATTTACAGACGTATTTATCTGAAAAAGTATTGTTTTATTGTTTATTGACCTGTTTACACAAGAGTAGCAATGTTGTGGTGCATATATGAAACGAAACACAAGATTACTGATACTCTAGGTTTTCCAGTACTTCTGTGTTGAATAAGGAGTACATACTCCTGATGTTGAACAATTATCTGGAGCCCTGTTGTAGAATCCCTTACCTTTCATTGTTGTGTTGGTTTATTCCTTGAAATTAAAACATGACGCCAATGGTAATGATAAACTTTTCGTTACATACACCATTGATTAAGGATAAAACATATGGCGGACAGCCTAGATTAACAGTGTCATGACAATGTCACAGCATGGCCTTTGTACCTCGTATATTTAGACATTAATAGATAGGGTCTTAGATCAAATTGAAAAATAAAGGTCCAACTGTCATATGAGAAAAATATTCAAAGAATCGGATGATACTGACTTACCTGAATGAGCGATCTGGAATCCGGCGAGTATAATCACCAACAGGCCTATGTGTGGATCCATAGTGACTGTGACTTATGTCAACACGTCCCCAGCTATATGCCACATCCACTCATCTGGTGGCAGTCCAGGGGGTCACGCACTGACGGTCCTGTGACATGTAATTGGTTCTCAAACAGGATGTAGTTATAACAATCTACTCTTCATCTGGGGTCAAATCTGACTCCCCTGGTACTAATTCGAACTTAACACGAGTAGTCTATTTATATACCAAATGACTGCGATAAGCCCAATTTAAATATATACTAATCTACCCGTGAAGATCCGGGTTAGAATTGGTCTTTAGCATCCCATGCTTGTCGTAAGAGGCAACTAACGGGATCGAATTGGTCAGGCTCGCTGGCTTGGATTTGACACATGTCATCGTATCCCTACTGTGTAGATCGATGTTCATGCTGTTGATCACTGGATTGTCTGGTCCAGACTTGATTATTCACAGACCGCCGCAATATAGCTGGAATATTGCTGAGTGCGGCGTAAAACTAAACTCACTCACTCTTCCCGCGAAGAACGGGTTAGAATCGATATTTATTTATCCATGCTCAGTGCTTCCTGTTTAGATAGTACTAAAACATAATGCCTCTCTTTAAAATAATCCCTGTGAAGCTCCGTCTATCCGTGCCCTGTTAATCTATTTTTTATCATCTTGTTGTTCATTATGCATTTACTCCTCGCCCGAAAAGCAATAAACTTATGTTCTGTGATAGGGGCTAAGGGGACACTGTGGTTAATGAGTGTCATCGCATCATATTAGCAAAGATTTATTTGCATCTGTCACAATAATATCCCATAAAAACACTTGTAAAAACAAAAAAATCACCGAATTGTGTGGACCAGACTCGATGTTTGTTTCTTTCTTTATTGTTTAACGCTGCACTTAGCAATATTCCATAATAAAATCTGGACCAGCCAATCCAGTGATCAACAGCATGGGCATCGACATACGCAACTGGAAATCGATGACGTGCATTAACCAAGACAACTTGTCTTACAACCCGATCCCGCTAGTGGCCTTCTACGACAAAGCTTGTTAAAGACCAATTGTAACCCGGATCTTCACAGATTGAAATGTAGATCAAAGAACATGAACATTTTGATACAAATATTCTACTCATAATAAAGGTCCTATCCATTAACCGTATACTAGCTTTTAGATCAGTTATTCTGATCTCGGTATAATTTGGACAGGTAGGTAATGTAAGCAGTTACTTCCATTTACATTCAGCTTTGTCGTCAATAAATCGTTCAAATTACTGCGTCCTTGTAACTTATGGGAGTTGCGCTTGAACAAGTGAGTGAGTTAAGATTTTAAGTCACATCGGCAATATTCCAGCCATATCGTGACTAAATCAAGTTATTTTATAATAATTAAAAATGAATTATAAACACCTGTCAACGAAGGACAGGGAAACAACTAAAATATCACAGACATAGATGAAAAACTAGTAATTAAACCTAAAATATTTTATCTATACAGGTCAACACGATATAAAACAGGCTATAATATTGACAACTGAAGGTAGATCACCATACCAGGGACTATGGGGGCTTACAGTACATTTGCTTCCTGCATGGACCCTAGCAGGATTTACACCATCCGTTCAGCTATTAGCAATTTTTGACAAACTAGCCATAAAATAAAATAACATGTATTCTACATTTTAAAAAAGTGGTATTTTTTACTTTACTTTGAATGTTTTGGCACTTACATACCCCCACAGGAGGACAATAAGCTTGAACTAGTTATACAAATGACGTGACGGTTAGTGAGTGAATCAGGTTTTATTACCCATGTGGTGAAACATAACCAGTGTCATGTGTATGATGCACATGTCACTTTTGCCGAGCATTCTGCAACCATTCCGTCCGAAACGAAAATACCTTTGAGGTCCATGATTATTAGAGACGGGGACCATTACCTCATTAAATAAAGCAACACGTGTTGATCAGTTTGTCAAACATTTCAGAAGTTCAATAACAGATCAAAATATTACCGTTTTATTAGCTCTTTTGTTTGTTCAGCGTTTATTAGACAAAAGTTGATCGATGTTGTTGAAACAATGGTCATCAGCGACAGCAATTTCGACTTTTGGATTAATATGTCCCTCATATTTTATCTGTATTAATATTTGAGATCGACTAGGGCAAGTTTCACTTCTGACAACATCCTCGACGCAAGCACGTGTTGTGTTCAAACAGAGAACAATGTTCTCGGGGCCTGAACAAACACACAATCACGTCCCTGGCATAATCTCTCAGCGCTAATGTCATAATTCATCGTTCTCACATTTCATTAGACACTTTAATTCGGGGCATCTCTGGCAGTTTTCTAAAGTTTGTTTGCTCGATTAAACGGCCATGACAGAAAATCTTCAAAATGGCTACAGCACTTTGAATGCATCACTAATCGATATTGCTATGAGGCGTTCGGGCACCAGTCTCGTGGGTTTTGTCAGCTGAGATCGTTGGTTCCGTAGCAAATTTTATTGTTGGATTGTACAGTGTTGGAATTTAATCCCGTCTCATGTTTCGGTGTGCATATATATGTCAAAATTACTTGCCTTGAAATGTACATTTGTTGACAAATCATGTTCACATTAACTATCGGGCAAAGCAATGTTTACACCCATCTCTAACTGGCAGAAAATGAAACCGATGACATGTGTCAACCAAGTCAGCGAGCCTGACCACCCGATCCCGTTACTCGCCTCTCACGACAAGCATGGGTTACTGAAGATCAATATTCTCACCCGGACCTTCACGGGTGAAAAACGAAACCAACAACATATGGTTATTCAATATTGTTTATTTCATATGGGGATCATAATTAATTTTTGACCTAATCTTGTAACTGACACAAAACTGACAATTGTTTTGTGATTTTCTTTTCAGGCTACAAAAACAAACCCAAACCCAAACAAATAAATTATCATTTTTGTAATATAACACCGAAAAAGAAAATATACCCCTATGTATTATTTCATGGTGCCTAAAGGAAACAACAAGAATGGTTATTTGCTAGTGATGTATTTGATACGGGTATCATTAAGTTGGTATTTGGACCTTTAAGTTTGACGTGTGACAGTTAAAGCACTCACTCTAAATATATATGGTTGCATCGAAGGTTGATTTCTACATTTCAACTTGGGGAACCAACTGCAAACTTTATGCAGATGAATTGCACGAGGATCATGCATCAAATTGCTGAAAAGCATGTGCAAATATCGTGCATGTGAACAGCTGCGTTTTGGTGTACAGTTTTGTTAAGAATTCGCCATTTTTCACTGATTTTCATCATTTACTGAACTCGGGACAATAATCTTTTCAACGTTATGAATTTGTTTTACAATACATCAGTTCATGTGTAAGCATCACCTTTAAACAGTATGGAATATTTTGCAAAATTTAGTTCAGAACAGTTGCCTGAAGTAAGTGGTTACATTTACACTAGTGAGTATAAACTTTGGATGAGAAGTATATTTATAACAAAAATTATGAAATCCATTTTCCAAGCTTATACATTTTTGGCCCGGTATTATACAACTCACACTTTGCTGAGGATCGAAACATGGATTCAACAGAAAACTATGATGTGGGGTCAAATTTGGTTTAAATATCTAAGCTTGTTGTAAGCGTCTATCCTAGGTTTCAGGTGGTCATTTCATCTCGTGGAACCCATACCTGCTATTGACAGGTGTTGTCAGTGACTCGTTCCATGATTTGCAAAATCGCTGCCTGATGCCATGAAAATCATTTTTATGGTCACTCGTGTATCAGGTGCATAAGGCGAGATTAAAGTGGCTGTTTGCCTAAAGAGGGGTTACCATGTTATAATGTATCCAGGTTTAAATGGATACAATTTCAAATTATAAATCTACGTTTAAGTAAAGTTGTGAATTTTTGTGATCCTTAGCAAAGTGTGAGTAGCATATATGTTTATATTTCACAGGTTATATACTCAATGATAGCAAAATCCCTTGTCCAATGAAATGTGATATATATTTATTTCCCTGTACGTGACCATATTGCTGTCTGCTGCATGTGAGTTTCAAGCAGTGGTATTTACAGGTAAGTGTATAAAAGTAGATAGCTTTCGAAGGGTGTTCTACATTATGTAAGGAAAAATGTGATAATAGCGACCATAATCTAATGGAACTCGGTTTTGATTAATAAAATTTGGATTACACAAATATTTTTGTTCATATCTACATTAGAAAAGAAGATAAGGAAAATGACTGCATCTGCATCTAGAAAAGAAGAAAGAGCCAGTCTAAAAACAAACAAAAACCGTGTTCGGATTAGCAAGGTTCCGGATTGATATATCTATAGTAGGGCTGGCTATCGATATAGATCATAGAGATCGATAATCGTAAACTTAATATCGATCGATGATCGATAAATATAGGAGATGTCATTTTAAGCAAAATGTCTGAACGAAATGAATATATTTCACATCACTGGCGAGTGGTGAAATGTTTATGCATTGATTATTAACAAAACAGCGTCTTGAACATAATCTAGACGCACACTATGAATAAAGTCCTAAATTTCTACCTCTTGTGTACGAAAACGTTTTTCTATCATGAAAGTTAATGAACAATGTTATCGGTAACACAATTATCATATCGGCAAGCATTAACGATCTTTCCAAGTGATCATTTTCCGATTATCGATAATTTTACTCAACTCTAATCTAAACATTATATAAATGTTTATGATGTAATATTTTACCATCAATATGCAAATACAGTTAAACGTTTTAGGTATAAAACAGGGATTAAACAAGCTTGATTATAACTACCAAGTTTGGCTGTGTAAAATCCTTCAGTTTTGCCGCATGTACTATTCTGAAACCAATTCTGTCATCATATATAACTTATCTTAAAAAGAGCTACATTTATTTGTATAATTTTACAGTTAGAATTTTGTGGGTTCGGTGTAATGAAATGAATGTTTCATATCACAAGGCGTGTATGTGTTAACAAAGATAGAAATCTCATTATTCGAACTCTGAAGATTTGTTTCATAATATATATATAAATTATTTTGATTAATAACATTTCGATTAAGTTTGAAGGTTTAGTGACGAAACACTGCCAGTCCCATAAAATGCATGCGTTATCGGCAATCTACCATTAATATAATGACTGTATCGAACAACGATCAGAGAAACACCTACACACGTTGAGATATGTACCTTTGATGTATAATAATTTATAAACAAGATTAGTATATTACGGATCCATTATCCCCAATGAAGTGAAATGTAAACCTAATATCCATGGTGAATGTTGATAGAAAGTAGCTATATGAAATGTATTGTTTTGAAACTCGTGAAAATATTTATCTGCTCTTATATCTATGATTTCATACCAAAACGGAAACAGAAATATATATGGATATAGAAAACAGAAATATATATGGATATAGACAAACTGATACACAGAGAAAATACACAATGGGAAGACAAGGAGCCTGTATGTAAGCAAACCAATCTGTGTGGATTTGAATCGCATACCATACACTCGTGATATCTCCTATCAAAACATCGTTCAGGGCCCCGTTCTCAAAGAGATCGTTACGAGTTAAAGGTTGGTTGGCTTGTATTTTGAGGCACACCTGGTTAGTTTATCGTTCATCGATAACGTTCATCGATGGGAGTCCTCTAGCAGGCACGGGGCGGTGGGGTAGCCTAGTGGTTAAAGCGTTCGCTTGTCACGCCGAAGACTGGGTTCGATTTCCCACATGGGTACAATGTTTGAAGCCCATTTCTGGTGATATTGCTGGAAAATATTGTTTAAAAAGCGGCCTAAAACTAAATTCAGTCAGTCACTCACTCACTCATGCAGGCACGTGTCACCAGTGGACATGTGTGGAGACGATCCTAGTTGTAATGTCCCGGATGTCCGCGGTTTCGTAATATATATAAATGGATACATGGATTTCGTGTGTCTCCCGCCGTGATAATCCTAGATTATAAAAAAAAGCTCACTCACTCACTCACTCACTATTAACGATAGTCATCACACAAACCTCTAATTGTAAGGGTTGATCACTTCCTAAATGAGAAGTCAAGTGCATGTTGTTTGGTTCATTGACGGACATGGTCAGCACGACCGCAAGTCTAACGCGAACAACATGTAGCCGGGGTTCCGTCCACACTCCCCATCATCGACCAGCTCCTGCAGTTGGTGTTTGCATCCACACAGGATCCACCTAGAAATACAAGAATGAAAATGTATTCTCGTTTTGCAATTTGTCCACAATTCAAAACACGTTTTCACACCTACAATGCCAATAAAGGCAGCATTAACGACACTTGGAATTTGAAAAATCGACAATTTTTCGGTAACGATCGGATCGATATTCTTCGGCATGAAATAGTGCCCTATATTTTAAAGGTAAGTCAGTCAATGAATCAGCGATTTGATGGGACATATTTTATTTTTAGCCAATGAGCTCCCTTGCTCTTTTCAGTGCAGGGCAGATTAACGCCAAAGGTCGTCAATGGCGAACGGGCACGACACAATTCTGTTTGCGATGAATATATGTACGTAAACTCATTATGACAGTGAGATGTAAGTGTCTCCGAAAGAATGGCGACTAGCGCGCTGACAGGCGCCATCAGTTCAACATGTTTTGGTGCATGTCGTTTTGTGCATACTGTGAAATATACAAGAAAAATGGGTGAGTTACCTCTACAAATTCTGAGCAGGGATTTTGGCTCCGGAATCGAAATCACGATTTTCGAGCCACGAAGATCCTAGTTCCCAAAGTACTGCTTCGATTTTTGTGATGTATGCAGTATATGTCTCATTTTGTTGGTAAATCTATTGGCTTGAAATGTGTGCATACTTTTAAATGGGATAAATACAGTGAGTATTGTTGAATTCGCCCTGAAACGAACCTGGTGTGTTTGACCTCGTTAATCCTTTCCTTTTATTATAAGTGTAATGCTATTTTTGAGGGGCATTATCATTTGCAGAAGACCGAGGTCTTCCATTAACTGCCTGACGAAGGAGGGCGGTTGAAAAAAGACAGAGGCTTCTGAAAATGTTAATGCCCTCAAAATAGCATTACCGTTATTATTGCTAAAATACATGGAATTTGTGTTGAAAAGAAAAAGGAAACAATGAAGGAATTTGACTGTAAGTTGACTCAAAACCAACTTCCATGTAATAGTTAATAGTGCAATTGTTAAGTTTAGCACCAGCAAGAAAGCCAATATTACCGCTATTTAAAGCGGGAATTCAGGTTGCTTTGACTTGTTTGCCCCAGAATATCTGCCAGTCAAAGCCAAAGTCGAATGAACCGACGCACCCACTATGACGTCACTTGACAACAGATAGTGGCCCCTCGTTAAGGTTGAGCGGTCCAATATCATTTGCAGCAGCCCGCAACTTTCTGATAATAGGACGGCCGTTTCATGATAATTCCATGTGTTTTAGCTATAAATAGTACAAAGATCCGTCAGTGACAGTATATACATTGATGGCAGATTTTAGCTTTACAAGCCCTTGTGGTCTGTGGTTTAACGCCACACTCAGCAGTAGTCATTCGGGCTCAGGGGAATATAAACAAACATCGAGGGTACGTCAGCCCATGGCCCCCTCGATTCCAGTGAACAACGTATTTATCTTACCGAACACCTCAAAGGTAATTTTGGACTGTTTGAAGCACGGGTATGGAATCATAGTATGGAGTACCAGACGACAAGAAAAACAAATTTAGAGTTATCTCCCTTCCATCGATTTGTATTCGCAAAACATCGGTAATTTCCGTACATCATAGATGATTAAATGTTATTCGAGATAAAAAAATACCACTACCAAGTACCAAATGACTTCGGCATTCCCAGCGGGGTACATAGAAAATGTTACTCGCTTGTAAGCGCAGGGTACATTAAAATAATATTAGAGCGCTCAACCAATGTGTGAGGCAAGATAAATGGCTATATGTAAATAATCGAGTCAGGACTAGACCATCCAGTGATCAACTGCATGAGCATCGATCTATGCGATTGAGATACGACCACATGTATCAACTGACCACCCGATCCGTTAGTTGCCTATTACGACCAGCATGGGTTACTGAAGATCAATTCTAACCCGGATCTTCACGAGTTCAAAGGACAGGTATAGTGCTGACAAAGAAGGTTCTTATTCAAAATGAATGCTGATTTTGTACCAAAGATCTTAGGATACCGGTACGCCAAAGGGACGCAACTCTATCTCCTGATGTCACACTAGACATACACTACAAAGTGAAGATCATGGGTAAAATTCCATGTCGAACCTGCTCCTCCGCCTCCTGAGCATCTGTTGCAACTTTGTCTACAGTACACGTGCATGTAGCGAGGATTGGAGCCACAGTCCCCTAGAGAAGCCCATGACCTGCAGTTGCGGTTCCTGTCCAGACAGTTGCCTGAAACAGCCATAAGTGTTATTCAAATTGTTTTTGTTAAATTCTTGAGGCTTCAAGTTTGGCCATGTATTACAGAAGTATCCCATTATAGACTTTCATACCTGAACCAGTTCCGGTTCCGGTTCCGGTTCAGTTCCAGTTCAGTTCAGTTTCAGTTCCAGTTCCGGTTCCAGTTCAGTGCCTGTTCTGGTTCCGGTTCCAGTTACAGTTCAGTTCCGGTTCCGGTTCTGGTTCCAGTTCAGTTTCGGTTCCGGTTCCGATTTCAGTTTCGTTTCCAGTTCCAGTTCCAGTTCCAGTTCCAGTTCCAGTTCCAGTTCCGGTTCCGGTTCCGATTTCAGTTTCGTTTCCAGTTCCAGTTCCAGTTCCGGTTCCGGTTCCAGTTCCAGTGCCTGTTCTGGTTCCGATTTCAGTTTCGCTTCCAGAGCCAGTTCGGTTCCGGTACCAGTTCCAGTTCAGTTCCGATTTCGGTTACGTTTCCAGTTCCGGTTCCGGTTCCGGTTCCAGTGCCTGTTCCGGTTCCGATTTCGGTTTCGGTTTCGTTTCCAGTGCCGCCGCCCCCAGTGTTGCAGTCCATCATCACACGCTGGCTTCTCTCAGCATCTGCAACATTAGCAGGAAACACATCACAAAAACTACCCTAATCCGAATTATACTATCAGAATAAAGGAATCTTGTAGCCAGTTACTGTAACAGCTGATTGCTTGGGATCGTTACTCCTGATTTCAATTTTGATGTGGGAAAAACATATTTAAGTCTTGATTGAAACATGATAATCTGGACCAGTCGCGTCCACGTGAAGCACAATAACAATAGATATGACATTTTGCTTACTTCGGGTTGCCATACATCTTCTAAGGTACGTGTTCCCGCAGGGAAATACCTCCTGTATCAGAGAGAACAGCTGGGGGTCGTATTGCCGTAGTTTCTCGCGGGTGTTGACGCGGTTGTGGATGCCGTTGGGGACGGCAGAGTAAGCGTTGACGTTGAAGTAGCTTTGTGTCCTTCCGCCTGAAGAGAGGGTG